AAAACTAGTTTATTCTTTACTCGATACAACTTTGTAATACACAAAATTTCCACAGTCAATACGTTTGCAATCTCCATAACAAAACACACACTTTATATTACCGTCACTACCGTTCGCTTGACTCAATTATATATCTATATATCTTTCTATTCAATCGATCGCGCTGGTTTTTCTCGCCAGGCTTATATACTAAAAAGAGGGCGTCATGAACAAACTCGGTCTTCCCCAATAATTCATGATCCTTCGAGAAACTTTACCGCGCATGCTTCCAGCGTCGCGTGACTTCCTCTGTCGTAACATAACTAAGGGTTTTTGCGTTAACTTACCGTTGACCCACCGAGGGATCAATAATTAGTGGACCCTGGTGCTACTGCCTGCTACGGTGCTTAATTGTATCTAAAACTTGCAAATATTACAATCTACTTGATTAGATTATTTTTTGTCAGTAATATAGACAGTTACTGTACTTATATAGATTATTATTCAGATGTAGTCAGTATTTTACATTAAATCCGGTATTAAGTGCTATGTTATAACTGTTACTTACATGTATTAGTAGCTGTCTTATATTAACAAATTGTAAATAAAGTGTCAACTACTGTAGGCTAGTTCAGTATGAAAGGGCACCACCAGGTTTCTCTTCAGGGGGGCTCGTTTCTGAAATTAATAACAAATGTAAGCCTATGTAACCAGGAGGGTCAGTAGTAAGTCCAGTACATGGTCCACAGCGAGTTTCATATCAGATTGAAGAAACAAATTATCAAACGAAAGAGGTTATGAACACAAAATTATAAAGTCCTATTAGCCAGTTTTTCAACAAAAATATTAATTTTTCGTGACCATCAAAATGCAATTTAGGTTTAAAATGTCTTTTTTCGTACCCCCCACCCCCCAATGATCCCCCAGTCGACACTCATGGTTTGCTCCCTATAACAGGTTTTGAACGAAAAAAACGTTTTTCCTATTATTGTTATATCAAAACTTTTTTTAAATCCCCTACTAGTGTTTGGCGGATTTTTGACCGTTCATTAGCGCAATATTATTCCTGATGTACTAATCATGTGTCTTCCAGGAACTTCTCTACCACCTTTTCGCCTTTATATTCTACCTGGGCTCCAGCGTCGCATTATTAGTGGTTGTTTCCCGTCGTAATGACCAAGCGTACCGGGTTGAATTCGGTTATGAGGGTAAAATGGCTGCCTCTGTAAGTCTCTTTTAATTAATCTTATCATTACTAAATCATTTGTCCAGAAAGAAGTCGTTTCTGCTATTTATTCAAAACTAAACAATTTGCAAACTGTGCTCTATTTAAACGTTCTCCAATTTTATCAGTGTCATCGTAAGTTGTGTTACGTAATAGAAAATAAATAGTTTATTTATATTTTTTTGTGTTCAGTATTTAAGTATTTAACTTTTCATCCATACTGTTTGTTACGTGTGATTTAGTTTTGGTTGAAATGTCTAATCTAAAGTTTTTGTGGTATATATTTTCTATATACGTTCTAAGTTATTATATTATAGACTAAGTGTGAACATTTATAAAATTAAAATAATTAAAAGTTCGTTTGGAATTTAATCGTACATTAATACAGTTTTACTTAACTAACCAGCATTTGTCATGTGGCATTACTTCTGCTCCCATTGTTTCATACTATTTCTGTGAGGATGAAATGATTGAGATCGTATTATATTTAGGTTTATTTCTCCTGTTTTAGGTCATTGGCCTGGTGAACAGCTTCCTCTATCTCGTCAGCGCCATCTTTTCTTTCCGCTCATACAGACACGTGTGAAAACGCCCCGGATACAAAGTCTGGAATTCGAGAAATACTTGATGAATTTCTCTTCGTATTTTTCCACTTGTATCTTTTTCAACGTATTCGTGTGCGTGTTTTTTTTTCTGTCTATGGAGAAAATTCTGGGACACTTTGTATTTCTGTGAAATTGCAATCGTATGCAACATAAAGTAATTTTGGATATACTTCTAGAATACAATTTTTGAAAATAAACAGTATTTTCCATGAATTTTGTTTAGTTATATAAACCATACCAAGTTATAGATTTCATATTGTTATAGGTATATGAAATATCTATGTTCCTCAGCAGCTAGTACTGATGCTTAACAGTGAAAATTTATACTAATCATCTTTTTAACTTTTTACTGTAATATTATAATAATATTATATATATATATATATATATATATATTATCGGTACAATAATAAAATAATTAGTAATTAATTTAACTACTTACTTAAGGTGAGTAATAATTACTTCTACTTAACTAAACAAAATATAATTA